GAGGTGAGGTGAGGTGAGGTGAGCGCCGTGCGGACAGATCCGGGTGCGTGGCGGGGGCGATGGCAGTAGCCCGCCTGGGGCAGCTCCCGGGCTCGGGCCACTGCGGCTGTTGTTCCAGTCCCCACGCATCAGGCGGAGTTGAATCCCCCCGCTTCATCGCAGGCTGCTCATCACAATGAATGGGAAAGTAACAGGGGAGGCTCCTCTACTCGCTTGCTGATTTTTAACGAGGCAGGTGAGGGGAGGTGGAGAGCTCCTTCCTCTGACTGGGGCTGCGCTACAATTGCCTCCAGGCTCTTCATTTGGAGGGCACAACGCTGACCTGTTGCACCCATTCAACCAGTGACAGCAGCAGCTTGGAGTAAAGGTCTGTCTGTCCTCAGCACTGTGACAGCCTGTGTCCCCTCCCTTCCTTATTTGCAAGCTTGAGGGGTTGATGTTCAGGTGCCGGGGGCTGAAGACCTCCTCGTGAGAACAGAACCGGCTGCAATCCTCTCCTCTCCTGTCACTGCTGAAGCGAGGCAGGGACCAGCAGCCTCCGTGCAGAAGGTGGGAAGAGAGATCAGTGTGTGAGTTAATGTGAATGTATACACAATTATTTTTTAATAAAGTGGAGGTGGCAGGTTTGTGGTTGACTTAAATGAAACGGAGTTTGTGTGTGCGCACGCGTGTGAGCACACATGCTTTTTTCAGTAAAGTGGAGGTGGCAGTGTTGTGGTTGAGTTAAATGAAACTTGTGAGCTTGTGTGTGTGCATGGTTTTAAAAAAAATAAAGTAGAGGTGGCAGTTTTGTGGTGGACAAGTGAAATGTGTGAGTTTGTGTGTGCGCGTGTGCTTGTGTGCATGCTTTTTATGAAAATAAAGTGGAGGTGGCAGATTTGTGGTTGACTTCATTGAAACGTGTGTGCATGCATGCACACTTTTTAAAAAATAAAGTGGAGATGGCAGTGTTGTGGTTGACTTAAATGAGGTGTGTGTGTGCGCATGCACACTTTTTAAAAAAAAATGTGAAGTGGAGGTGGCAGTTTTGTGATTGACTTAAGTGAAACATACTTATTTTTGACGTGTGGTTCTGGGAAGGGAATCCGTAACACACGGCTTTTGGTGACAGAGCAGAAGTCATACACCCCCAGTGACATTTGAGGATGAAAATAAACCTGGGATTTGTTTTGGCTCCAGAGTACACACAGTAGTATGTTAATCATCTTTAGAGGAAGAGAGTTTGTTTCACAGCAGCAGGCTGTCTTGTCTTTCTCTCCTCGCGCTCATACAGAAACGTGGGGGGTCAGATTCTGAGTTTTGTGGTGCTGGGGTAAACTGAGAGCGCTTCAAGTTAATGGAGCAACTCTGTCTATGCAGCAGCAGAGCAAGGAGTTGGAATCTGGCTTGTAATTTAATAGCAGTTTGTATGTAAATATAGGTCTCCTACATGGGAGGAGACCCTTGAAACCTTCCAAAACAGTATTCTCCCAATATTTTGAACCAAAGAACCACTGTCAACCCTCATCATTTCTTGGTGAGCAATGTGCAACCTTTATCATCAAATCTGTGCTGAGAAGGGGAAGGAGATCCAATGCAAAGCATTTACTGTGGCTTACCAAACCATCAGTGGAACGAACCACTGTTTTAAAACTCTCCAATTTACACTGCGTGACTGTAATCACAGAAATACATAAGTTCATCACTTTAAATGACATGCTTAAGTGACTTTGGGCAGGCTTTGGGGTGGTGTTAACTGTCTCTAATTTGCAAAAAGTTTATTAGGGGCCCCAGCAATTATGTCTCTTAAAATGCCCAAGCCAAGTGATTTTTATGAGATCGTATACTGACTTTAAAGCACTCTCTTTTGCCAGTTTACCATAAAAGTTGCAAGGGAGAAGATTTTATCAGCAGCATCACATTCATGCCTTTCTTCTAACAGCTGAGCTAGAAGAAGAAAAACAAGTCTTGCTACAAATGACTTTACATGACTTGCTGTTGTGAGAGCACGCAACCGTGACTATTAGGGTAGAAACTGGAAGGCAAATGTATGCATTTTTTGGAGTGAAATTCCTGTGTCTCAGCTGTTATGTGAAACATTCATGAAACATTTAGCTTTTCTGAGTGCTTGTCCAAGATGAATATAATTTGATGTTTACTCGTGTGCAAATGAATTAAAAGAATATGGTCTCAAAGATATATGGATATCCTTCTCAACATAAAGTTTACTTGACTAGTTTTTGAAAACGTAATACTGCATAATGAAGAAAACTGATTAAAACCTTATTTTAGTTCATGAATTTATTTTGAAATGAATTATTGCTTTAAAGTGGAGGAGAATATTAACTCCTGTAATATTTGTGATTGTATACGATACATCTCCTTGTAGTAATATTATAGTATTGCAATGTTTATGTAATGTAGTGTATATAGACATAAAGTTATACCGTGATGCAAGGAGAGATTTAGTTTGATGACACCATTAAATGATGGTAGTGTCATAATGTTAATTGTGGACAGCAACAAAAATAAGCTGGTTTTAACTATCCTGAAGATCATACAGATGGAGAAGTTGAGGGACCTTGAAGTGACTTGTCTGGGATCACACAACAGGTGAGGAGGTAGTCAGAAAATCCCTATGTGGTCTTTAAAAATATATTATGAAAGACACGGGTGTCTCTTTTCTAACCCTCTGCTTTTCTGAATATTTATATATGAGCTGTGTCAGCTTTAAACAAAGAGGCTGGGGACAGACCTTAAAAAAGCCTGAGCCTGAATTGTTTCAGTCTTTGCAGGTTAGTCTAACCTGCAGAGAGTGAACTGCTTTGCAAGTGGATAGACGTTTGGCGCATGCCTGCAGTGTCTCAAGCCAGAAGCCCGGGGGCACTAGAGCAGCCCTCCCTTTCCTTCCACAGGGAAGCTGAGCTGAGGAGTGGGGGGAGTGGCCAGGCCCCAGCAGCTCCTTGACAGCCAGGAGCAATCCAGGCACACAGGGCTGCCTGGCCCCAGGGGAGAATTCTTCCCCCTCCTCCCTCTCCCCCGCCACAGCGGGGCCAGGCGGGGGGCTCTGTTGAGTGCCGTGGGGTGCTTTTCTCCCTTCCCTCCTCCCCTGCGGTGGAGTGAGGTGGGGTGGGGAGGGGGGCTCCTCCCCCTGCTTTTCTCCCATCACTGCACGGTGAGGAGATGGGGCTCTATGAGATGCTGCCCAACCCCAGAGGGAGACTCTTCCCCACCCCTGCTCTGCAGGGGGAGGCTCTGTTCCATTCTGGGGGGAACTCTTCCTCCTCCCCCCTGCCCCAGGGGCAGTGGGAGGGTGGAGCTCAACAGGACAGGGTGTGGGTGTTTGGGGTGTGAGGGTGGGTGGGAGTATAGGGACCCCCACACACTTCCCCCAGGGTGTGCAGCCCCCACTGCCTGGCAGCAACAGGTGGGGAAGTCAGGGTGCAGGCGTGGCTCTGGCCAGCACTGCATGGGGGGAGGGAGCGGAGCCTGTCTTATCCCCATTGCCTGCTCCCTGAGGCCAAGCTTCCAGCTCCAGCCCTTGCAAGGGGGAAAGCCTTGTGCTGGAGCCAGCTGTTTCCCCCAGTCCCTGCTGTGCAGGGCCCCACACTCTGCTGGGAGTGGAGGGAGCCCTGACCCTGTACTTGCCTGCAGGTCCAGCATGGGGCTTCCCCTCTGCGAGTGTGGGGTTGCAGGCGTGTCACGGACCAGTGATAGAGGCAGCCAGCACTGCGATGGGGCTGAGGAGCGCAGCCCCATGCAGCCTGCCCGGCTGCTTCTATCCCAGCGGCTCCATGCCACGCCTGTGACTCTGCACTCACAGCGGTGAAGCTGTGTGCCGGGCTCTGTGGGGAAGCAGAGTGCGGGGCCCCTCCACTCCTAGCAGAGTGCAGGGCCCTGCACAGCAGGGACTGAGGGAAGCAATTGGCTCCAGCCCAGGGCTTCCCCTGCTGCAAGGCTGGAGCCGCAGGCTCAGGGAGCAGAGCCACGGGGATAAGGCTGGTTCCGCTCCCTCCCTCCACACAGTGCTGGCCGGAGCCGTGCCTGCGCCAGGCACCAGTGCCCTGACCTTTCCGCCTGCTGCTGCCAGGCAGCAGGGGCTGCATGCCATGGGGGGAGTGTGTGGGGGTCCCTATACCCCCCACCCTTGCCCACACACCCACACCCTGCCCAGCTGGGCTCTGTGCTTCCACTGCCCCTCTGTGGGGAGGAGGAGAAGGGGGTAGAGTTCTCCCCAGCATGGAACAGAGCCTCTTCCTGCCCCCCGCCCCTGCTCTGAGGCTGGGCAGCATTGCACGGAGACCCTCCCCACACCCAGCCCTGCAGCAGCAGGGCAGGGACTGCAAGAGGAGGAAGAGTCCCTATTCAGCTCCTCACAGAGTCCCCCTCCCCACCCTGGGAGGAGGAGGAGGGGGAAGAGTCCCCCACCAGCGTGAAACAACCCTGCAGGACAGCCTAGCTAGGAAGGCCCCCTTAAAGTGAAGGGGGCAGGGAGAAGGGTTAATTTCTCTCTCCCTCCCTTTCCTGCAGCCGGGGTCTGCCAGCTCCAGGGGCTCCCTCTGCTCCCCAGCAGACAGGCTGACCCTGGTTGCAGTGGGGGAAGGAGGGAAGAATTAACCCCCTCCCTTCCCACTTTGCCTTAAAAGAGCTGGTCCTTGCTCTGGCCAGAGAGCAGAGGGGCAGGGTCAGCCTTGTGGATGGAGCAGAGAGCCCCATCCAGCCCAGAGAGCATGCCAGGATGCTGGTGGTGTCATTTATCTTAACCAGCAAGGGGTCTGGGACAGACATTGCATAAACCGGTTTGAGTCAAATCAGTTAAGTCTGATACTACATTCAACCAGTTTTATCTCACATTGGTTTTGGCCATTCTGAAACTGGTTTATATGCACTGAACGTCTGTTCTGTTACAGGTTTAAACCAGTTTCTGATCACTTAAACCAGTTTATGTGTAATGTCAGTCCCTAGCCAGAATGTCAGAGAACTTCTGCATAGAGTTTGTTTAGCAGAACAGGTAAAGTACAAACCCTTAAAAATTCACTTACTTTCCAAACAAGTAATTGGGGCCTTTATGTAATTGAGGGTTTGATGGGCAGGAGTTTAGCTATCTGCAAATACATTCATAGATACTTCTTTGGCTTTTAAATACATTCTGCAAACAAAAATCCATCAGAGCTGGGTCCCAAGTAGTAACTTATATATAAACTATCCCAGCTGGCTACAAAAAACGGGATAATAAGGAACCTTATGTAGTATTATGAGCTGAGCTCTGCATGTTATTGAATCACTACCTTTTGTTCAATCAAGTTTCACAGTGGCAGTTCACAAGGGACAAAGTTAGACATTCTTATGTATGTGTATACAAATTGTGTCAGATGCTAAAGGTTTCACTAGAGTTCCTTCAGCAATGGAGGCTGTGTTGCACTTTGTATAATTTAGAAAAAGATCTCTTTAAATACTGAATACATGCCTGCTCAAAGGATTACACTTCTTTGGTATTCTCCTGTAGGTCCCGCATTGAGGTCATGATGACATGGTGAAGCTGAAAGTAGGACCCGGGAACCTTTCCTCTGCTTCAGTTTTAGTACTGTAGTGAATTTGCCACGGATTCCACTTTTTCCACCATGGCTAAGAGTGCAGAAGTGAAACTGGCAATCTTTGGTCGAGCTGGAGTGGGGAAATCAGGTATGTTTGTTTTGCTTCTGTTTGCAAATGGTTGGCTTTTGGCTCAGTCTGCTCACTTTTTGGCAGAACTTCAGAGTTGAGCTGGGTATAGAATTTGTGGCAAACAGATCAGGATTAGGCCAGAGTCTGTTTTAGATATCCACAGAAACTCTTTTCATGCTCCAGGTTCTACAAAAAAGAAGTACTGTTCAAAATCAGTGGCCTGATCACATTCCAGTTGAGGTCAGTGACAAGGCTTCTATTGAACTTTCATGAGAACAGAGATGGACTAACATTGTTAATTTGTCTCTACATTGCTTACATCAGACTAAGGTGTATTGATTTTTTTTTTTTAATTCTCTATGCAAAAGAGGGTCAGAGCTCATGTGAAATAATGGGTTGCTTCTGGGAGATTGAGTGCTATTGTTTCTGTAGATTGTAGCGGGGATTTCTGCAGTTCAGCAATTCACAGTCTCAGACCCTAATAAAGTATGTTGTAAATAACCTGAAACTAACATCCAAGTTGAATGATAGTGGAGCGGTTTTCACAGGATTCCAAAAAAAAAAACGGAAAGACCAGATCAGGTCAGAGTGACTTTTTGGGTGACCCAGCTTTACACTCTTTTGAGGCAGACAAGGTGATGACTGACTATATCCGTAAGAGTGCTATTTTGGCCTTAGCATGGTGAGGAGGGAACAGATAGTACCTGTTTCCTACAGAATATCCCTTCCTTTGGCCTCCTTTGATGATACCTTTGAATTAGTAATTTAGTAAGTTAGACCTTGTTTCTGTAGTCAACAGTTACAGAATTTCCACTGACTTAATGCCATATGAAGGACTCGGATCTTCAGGGAGATGCTGGCTGAATTCACTTCTGAGCTCCACCAGCATGTGACCAACCTAGCAAGACAGGACAACCTAATTAGAAGAGTTCTAAATATTCATCTGTCTCACTGATCTTGTTCCAAGCTTTGTGTTCTTCACAGCGTTTTGGATTTTGATGCAGGAAGCTCTTTATGATGTGGGCTTTGTATTTAGGGCAGCATGGTGGTGCGTTTGTGGAAACAACCATGGACTGGTAAGTTCCTATAGTAGAAACACTTGAGAATGTAAGAACCATCTGTTTTTAGACAGTTTCTTCTTTGCAGAAACTAGGTGAATCTACATGAGACATTTGCTGTGCAGTTGACAAATTAGCTGTGTAGTAAACATCTCGGCATCTACATATGTACCCCTATTAGGCTAGAGTAAACTAATTTACCCTACCGTAGGATAGTACTTGTAAATACAAGTACTGTCCTGCTGCAGAGTAAAAAACTCTGCAGCAGCGCACATGTAGATGCTGGAGGGGCGGGCTGGGCATGAGGGTGCTTCAGTGTGAGGGCTGCCAGCTGGCTCTCCCCACGCTGAGGCTCCCTCATGCCCCAGCCTGTCCCACTGCAGAACATTGAGCCAGAGGGAACAGTCTTGGGTTGTCAGGCTGATCCCTGGCCCACCCCACCTCCGCCAGCTGAGGCTGCTCTGACCTGGCTCCACGTGCTGCAGATGAATAAACTGAGGAACTTACTGCTTTGGAGTTATTTGCTCCCAGGCTTACATTCCAATAGTGCACCTGGGAGCAAATATTTTTTTTACTTCGCTAACTTCAACATTAGTTGCTTATAAAAGTCTGGTGGTTCTGAAAATATTTTATCTGAGAAAAATGAGTGAAATAACTCATTTCCATCAGTCTCGGGGAGAAAGGCATAAATAGAAAAATGCATAGGATGTTAGGAATTGTATCACCCACGCAAAAGCAGCTCAAAAGCGGCTCAAATTGAATCTTTTTTTATTAAATAACTGAAGGAGCGCTTGTGTGACACGATTATTGACTTAAATTCTTACCTGTGTTTCTAGTGACTTGAGTGTTACCTGAAACTTTAAAAATTAATCTACCTGTACTTTTCAGTAAGGGTAGTTCTACTTCTTTATAATTTACTCTATTTTATTTTGGCAGACCCCTTTTGGTTTATGGGCAAATTCTGTTTGTGCTCATCACTGATGATCATAATGTTTTGGTTAGGGCAGAATGCTGTTGGAGAATGTTTAACGAGAACTTTTCTGTGAAAATAAAACAAAAAAGGAAATTCCCACAACATATTTATATTTAATTTGAAGTTTTTAATGAAAAAATACAAAACCTAAGCATTCGCTCAGAAGGAGTGTGAATTGCCCTAATGATCACCTAGTATGTGAGTACTATAGTTCTTACCTTTTTTTTTTTTTCTCTTTGGGTCATTAGCTATACTAGGATTTTCTGGTACGTATATTCAATTGGGTCAGTACTAGATTTATGTTGGAAATAAATCTAACATCCCATGACATTTTTCTAGATTTTCAGTAATCTTTCTGTTTTTCATTGGGGCAAACCTTTGATCTTCAGAAGTTTTTATGGGAGAAATGTCTGTCTTGGATTAGCCAGTGACCTACTAGTTGGGACACTCACCCTGATACAGAGTAAGGAACTGAACCTCAGTTCCTGATGTCCCAGGCAAGTGCCCTAACCACTAGGCTAATGGCTTTTCTGGGATGAATTCCCCTTCCTCCCTTCTCCCCATTGCCCACCAAAAATCCATCCTGAATTTGAGAACTACTTTTTGTCAAAATGATCTGTATGAGCTTGTTAGAAGTGTTGCTTTCAACAAATCAGTATATTGCAATAAAGTGTTTTTGTCAGACAATTCCCAACCAGCATAGCTTAACTGCTTTTAGCACTAGTGCTGCTATGGATTTGCTATCAGCAGGGTCAGGCACAAAATGGTTCCTAAGGAACTGTTTTGTGTTTGATGGATGGGCAAAGTTTTAGGATGGAGAAGATGCTGCTACGAAATGGCTTTTTCCAAGAAAGAGAGAGATCTTTATTTCTGAGTGTCCCATCATGATGTGACCAGTTATATGATGTATTGCGTGGGACTGATTACTCTGACTAGACAGGACTCAAATTCTCTAATCCAGAGAGTTGGAAGGTAAGGTAAGCTCTAGAAGCCAGAACATGAGACATGACACTGGATGGATTAGCCACATGAAGAAGGAAATGCACGGGGCAGTAAATAAGGCCATTGCAAGTGCCAAGGAGTCATGCCAGAATATTGTCACTGGCTTTCTGTCATCTTTGGCTCATCTTCCTTCCATGAGAGAGCCAGATGCTTGGTCCTAGCATGGTTTAAGCCTTTTTTTGGCTTCTCCAACTGAAAGCAGAACATTTGAAGTTACAGACACATATTGTAATGTCCTGGCAAGATTCCTCTTCTGATTCTCAAACAGAATGGCTAGAACCATGGCAACCATAAAACAACTGCTTTGTAGAAGAAACTGTGCTAGAAGAGGAGACTTTAGGAATTTCTGGAATTTGAAATCCTTGGAAATTTTATCACTTGTGTAGTGATAAGCCCAGGACCTAAGCGTTATCAGTTCTAAGAACGTGTCTAGTAGGATGTGCTCTTGTCCTTTGTTTGGTATAGTCCTACCCCACCAATTCAAGGCTCATAAATTGGGATGAGCACAGAAAGCTGGTTGATGCGTATAAACCAGACTCGTGATGAGCCTCATAGAAACGCTATGACCAGAGAAAAGTAAAATGGTCCTTGACTTTTACTCCCAGTTTTTCTTGAGGTCTCTAGGTTTGAGAGAGTCACTTTTTTTAAGGGTTATGGCAAATGTTATTTATGCTGGGCATCTTTTACTGCACATCCCGACTTATTCTGAGATCAGGTACTTGAGCAGCAGAACTGCGTTCATCAGTCCTGCTTTCTCAACTATTGACACTTGGATATAGTGGGAATTAAAATCCTGGTGTAACTGACACATCAGTATATATGTTGCTGCTCAGTTTTATGCAGCACCTTCATTCCTACGGAAATGGGATTCCTTAGTGCAAGTGGCTTAAAAGCATGGTATTCACAGCCATTAAAGACACAGACTGAGTCAACACTGGCTGCATGTGTAGGGAGAAAGATTGGAGAGAAATAAATGTATGAAAGGGCAAGGTGGGAAGAGGGGACTATGAAAAGCAGCAGTAAAATGGTTGAGATGTCTTCTCCAGCTCATAATTTAGCTGGCCTATGAATTTGCCTAGGAGACTCTATTTGGACTATAGAAGGATATTATCTAGCTGCAGTATCATGTCCAACAGCTTAGCTTAACGTCCAACCACCTGTACAGCTTTCCTTTATATGAGCTGATCATAGGCCATCCGATTCCAAGATTTTGCCATGGCATATAGAAATTCTTGTGGACATTGACAACCAATCCAGTCCACTTCTTGTATCATGGATTGCATTAGATTAAGTTTAGTTATCGGTAGCTTAAGTAGGGGTGGGAGAGCAGGGCATTAGCCACCAGACACCAACTTAAGAAGGGCTCCAGAATCACCCCCACCTGCACAGAGTATGCCCTGCCAGCAAAAACAGCACCATGGTGCTTTTGGACATCATACTTCTTCAGTAAGAGCAATAGCTGGGGCGGGCAGACAATGCTGCAGGGGCAGCAGCAGCCACAGCCAGGGACCATTTTTGAGCTCCCTGCATACATAAGAATCCTGCATGCCCTCTCATCTGCTCTTGGACCACGGAGTCCTCCAGTGCTCAGTGATAACCTTACCCCCAACCTCTCCCATTCTCCTACAGGGCTTGCCTAGGATGCAGACCCTGATTGTTACGCCTCTGTTACCTATAGTTGCATAGCAGTATGTTGGGGCAGTACTTTTAATTTGTTCAAGATCGTGATCTGTAAAGTTGTTTCAATCATTTCCAGCTGAAGAGGGCCCCTCTTCACCGGAAGCGAGGAAAGAATTCTCTAGTCTGAGTTGCTGTAATGTTGGGTGCAAAAGCCCTGAACAAATTAGGATGCAAATGTCTAGCTGGTAATTGAATACTACTATTTTACACCAAGAAAAGGGCCTGAGAGAGGTAACTGGCAATTGTGGGTTCCTATAGTGAAAGCTAAAGGAACAGCCAAGCTTGAGAGGGAAGCTTAGGTTCAA